CCGGAATGTGGCAAGATTCTGGATGCTAGAACTCGTAGAGGGTGGAGTGAACAGGTTAGGTCAACACGGAGAATTTGACATGTAGAATGGGTCTTGGTACTGCACATGTGGCAGCTGCATGTGGTTCGTATAGATAGAGCTTCTAGGCACAAATCGACTGAATATCTCTTCATGATTTGATGTAGTTTTCTGCGCATATCCGGTCGATATCGCCTTGGCCTACTGTCTATCAACATCCAACAGCAATCTCACGTAGGCCGACCCTACACCATCCTCCTGGCAGTAGCTGGGCTAAAAATGATTTCGATGACTGTTGGCGCACATCCACGACACCATCCTTACTAATATGGTGTCTGCCGTTGGACGCCGGTTGGCCTCCGCTGCATGACATCGAAGTTCAGAAGTCGAGATAAGGCGACCGTTTGACCCCTAAGGTGGACGTGAAATGTGTTTCATCCAGTAATCGTGCCAGCTGTTACACCGTAATTCCCTGCAAAATGAAGATCATTGTAAGTTGTAGAAAATGCTGCACGCCATGCTGCCATGGACACTGCATGTCTCGGCACAAAGCCGGTGGATTTAATGGATAAAAGGACACGCAAGCAGTGGTTGAATACAGGACGCGTGGTGGTGTTATCGCGAGCCTGAATCGTGTAGACGTCATAATGTATGGAGAAGGCCTGAGCTTGGGAGGCGTGGTGGTGTTATAGGCAGACATGGAATAACTCGCCGTACTCGCCTACATGCATCGTCGCTTACTAGGAAAAAACGGAGATAAGGTAGCGTCACCTGAGACTGTAAGAAGCTTCGGAAGATTTTCGACCTCCAGCTCCGCCAGCTGCCCGCGCATCTTTCCTTCATCACACCATGGCGCCTGCAACGACTCCTTCGTTCCTATGCATCCAGGCTATCTTCGGCTTACTCTCACTAAACACACAGAGGGCGCGGATCCGCCTGCGGCCTATACACCCCCGCATGATGCAAAGCACGCTCCTCATGACCGGCTAGATTCCCCAGGAACGTTCATCGAAAAACAAATTAGTACCACATGGCAGAAATTGGCGTTCGTTGAGCGTGGCCGCCTTATGCAAGGTCAATTGTGTACTCAGCATGCGCAAAAGACTTGGCCTATGGCGCGAGGTTTCCCTCACGACGTGTAGGGGGTCGCGTCATCCTCTTACTCTATAGAGCCAGAAACATCCCACGAGATCTAACCACAGAGCATTCTAGCTACACCAACGTGGTGGGTTCTGCTAGCTGTCTGTCCACTCATCTCAGCATCTAGCGCTTGCGCACCGACTGGTGAGGACCCGCATGGGCTCGCAAAGAGCGGGTATGCATGCTGAGATTTTGTATCCCAGTTTTCCACAGCTATGCACGCCTCTAAGAGGTTGAGCTTGCTTCACGCGCTTCTTCGCGTCGCTTCTATCTCGGATTACCTATTCCTAATCCACCTGGTCATCCTGCTGAATGCCCTTGGGCCGAGGCGCGTTGTCAAGCCGAAAAGCTATACCTTCCCCTTCTTAAGCCCAGGAGCTTTCAGTCTGGTCTACAGTATCTGTTTCTCCCTCCGCTACGAATCGTTGAATTCCCCACTCTGCCGCGTCAAACATCTTAACCTTTTGCCAAGATACCTTGAAAGTCGCCCAAGAGGTCGAAAGTATTGAGGCCGCCAAGCGAACTTGTCCTGTCTTGTCGTTCCCAAAACCTTTCTGGAACCAAAACACACAGACGTCCCATCTACGGCGACCCCAGATCCACGAGCAGCGCACCATTACTGGCGGACAAGAACCTGCCAAGTACATTTGAACCCACAGTCAGCCTCAAATTAGGCCGATCATACACGTACACGCAGCCAGACGCTTACGCACGCGTAACAAGTGTACCTGCGGTCTTATCAATCAACGGACGAACTGCGCCATCTACAGCGGAGCATCCTTAGCGCACCGGACGCACGATCGTCAGGGTCAACTACAGCTCCACGGCCAAGACACAGCGTGCGGAAGCATCTGCGACATCCCGCGCTGCAACCCCAAGCTTCATATTGATTTTGGACCCAGCTCTTTCATGCTAAGCGGAGCTATCCACGCTCAAATTACGCACTAAGCAGATTGACCGGAGACTCAAGCGCGTCGGACCTTACTTTTGGTAGATCATCAAAACGCTCCAGCCAGTTACAGAGGTCACTTGACACACGCGAGCCCCAGCGGAACTTGCTTGGCAGCGCTATCCGTGGTACCCACGCACAACACCGAACTTGAATACTTTCACAATTACAGCCAATCTTGTGGACATATATAAGAAGTGCCGATTACCTCTTCTCGTCCTCAAGCAAACCAACATTACCTTTACCAAAACAACTTCTTCTAACCATATTCCTCACCTCCAACCAAAACTCCACCACCCACATACCAATACCCGACATCCAACCTGGCGCAATGTCTTCCACTAGCTCAACCTACCACATTCCGTTCCCAAAGAACTTTCTCACTGTCAACACTCCCGTCAAGAAGCAGTCCGGTTCCGGTGTTCAATCTCCCACCGAGCCCGTCATGCCTGCTCACGGGTTTCTATCCAACCGACCAGCGCGCCACCAGTCTATTTCCTCAGTCTCAAGCATCACCAGTGTCACAGCCCCACCCTCAGAGGCTAGCACTATCAGCGCGCCATCTTCTCCCACCACCAAGGCTGCCGATTCACCTATCCTTGGCCCGAAGATTTTCGCTCCTCTGGCGGTTAATGCAAAGCACGCGCTTCCACCGAGCACTTCTTCGGAGATGAGCAACGCAGAGAGACAGAGGCGCATGAGCTTCGAGAAGCACACTTTCTTGTCCAACAAGTTCTAAGTTGCGAGCGACGCAATAGCTGCTAGTTGTGTAGCAAACGAAGAAGTTGCGGGGAACAAAACACTGTACGCCTTTGAGAGCGAGCGGCATCATGGGATAGCGGGCGGAATCAGGCGTTAACGATGTCACGATACCTTTTCCTTTTTCTTATACAAAATTCGATATACCACAAAAGAACCCTCACGGCCATTGGGTATTGGCGAACTGGGCTGGCATGGGCTGGCGTTTACTTGAGGGGTCGGCTAGCTGGAAACAGGCAGCAGAAACACGGACTCACATACTACGAATTCAAATTTGATCCAAAATCACACTTGCCCTGGCCTTTTCTCTATGTAGTGATTGAATCCGCAACCTCAGTTGCATACCTTAAGGCTAAACGTACGCTCCGCCCCATCAGTTTCGTATATGGATCAGATCTAAGGCGCGATCGCCTCTTCAAGTAAGACACTTGGCTATTTATCATGTAAGAGCAACAATAGACTTCTCCCCCCTCCTCCCCCCCTTCTCAAGGTATTTCGTAACGTGGAATCTCTTCTCCGCCCAAACATACTTTCGCTTCCATTTTCCTCAAGCGGGCAACCTTCTCAGGTGCATCATGGAGCTTACCGCACTTGTGCTCTCCCCGCTCCTCCTCCCCCGCAAACACAAACAAACTTTGTGCATGCTTATAGGTATTCTGTGATGTGTAACTTTCGGTCTACATGAAGCACTTGTTGTCGCCTAACTGACAAGGGAAATACGCGGGCAACTAAGCTGATAGACAAAACAATGATTGATTCGTGAAACATGCGACTCTCAAAACTTGAAACAACACACCTCATAGCATACTACCCGCTCTCAACCCCCTATGTAGCAAATCCTCAAATCTTGCGTGCTTGAGTCGGCAAAAAAAATTCCACGTCGTAGAGCAAATGACCATTTTTCGCTACATCTAAGGCCGACGGGCAGCGGAAACCACGATACCCCTTGCATCTCCCAAGCGCCTCACTCTTCTTCTCCTCACGTCCCAGCGTAGTGGGATACATAGGTGACGTGCTATGTCCTCTTCAACACACGTTTCTGAAAAAACACAATGACGTTCTTCGAATTTCTCCGCCCGCCCGGTGCTTCGGTCGTTGTCTTGCGCATATGCGCAGTTATACAAGACGAAGGACGCGCGGTTACGGATGTTGCGGCGTGGCGGCACTATTGGTTAGATTGGATGAACAGGGTGTATGCACCGAGGATGAGATGACAGTGACACAGCCACGATGATATCGTTTTCCGATTTCGGTGTCCGTAGTCTTGGCTTGGATGTAGGAACGGAATGTGGAATGGATGGAGCAAGGGTTCACGTGAGGAGTATACGTGTCAAATATGCCAAAACAACTATCTGTTCATCATAGTAGGGTCTAGCTACATACCAAAATTAAAAGATGTATATGTAAGTCAATATGATATATTGGCATTTGAAAATGATGGCGTACATTATATCTACGCGAACGCTTCGAGGCCATGAAAAACCATCGCAAAGGGTCGTGGTAGTAGTTTGATAAACTAGAGAGTTCATCCTCGTTGTTTGACCGTGTCGCGGGAATGAAATTGATGAATAAGACACAAATAAAAAGACATATCGTAAAGGAGAGACTATATAGCATACAAGTCCGCTCCCTAGCGGGCGAAACCCTAGCCTACATAGAAAGGGATTCAGAATGGGTGTGCATTCAACTTTTTCCTTTTTGGCTTTCTCTCAGCAGTCCATAGAAGATAAACCAGGAAACAGGAGAAGCAAGATTGAGAGACAAGGGGCAACCAAAGTTCAGCACTCGATGGGAAAATCCGACTGACTCCCACAGGGAGAAAAAATGTTGTGATGAAGATATTCCCATTATCCAAGACAAGAAGAAAAGGAGCAAGTCCCAGGGAATCTTTAAACGCCAAAAACACCAATGCTGCGCTCTTTGTATGGATAGCTAGAGGCAATAGTATCTCCCAAAGTTCCCGTTTCGTGACCGAGGATGTGCATCATGAGTGGCACGATCGGGAGTAATGATCGTAAAGGGCTCGTGTATTATGTAAGTGTATGGGTATGGCGGAAAGGAAGCTGAGCATGTCGCAGCACTCGTAGGTCGTATGCCTGGCCGTCACGCGTGGGTGCGAGTGTTGTGTGGACGATCATAGTATGCCGGAGTCTTTTAGCGCGTTTTGCAGTATTGTTTCCTTGACGGCGGCGAAGACGAGTCGGATATTGGACGTATCGGTGGCTTGTGTGAGACTAGCGAGGTTAGTATGCGTGGGCTGGCTTGAGGAGAGGGCTTTTTTTACTGAGGGTATAGGTTCAAGTGAGCTCGGTTGACTTGGTTGAACCTCCACAACAGATACTTGGCCGCACGATTGACATCATTGCCGCCAGAGTAATCTGGAAAGTAATTGCCGAGTGGTGATCGTGCGAGTTTTGCCTTGAACAGATCGACCTTGTTGAGGAACAGGATAATACTCGTTCTCATGAACCACCGGCTATTGACTACCGAGTCGAAGAGCACCAAGCTTTCCATCATCCGGTTCTAGGGGCGCGAGTCAGTAATGGGCAAAATACTCCACTTGGTTACATACTTGTGAGCTTTCTTCTAACAGCACTTGATCGTATTCGCTCAATGCCACGCAGAAGATGATTGATGTGACGTTTTCGAAACAGTGTATCCATTTCTTGCGCTCACTCCGTTGACCCCCTACGTCGAACATGCTGTTTCATGTTAGCCTGAACACCAGAATATGGTTTGAAGGGGCGCACGTACTGTATGCTGAGCTGGCCCATCGTGAATCTTGTCTCGTAGATACCGGTGGTCTTGGTACGCGCTCGTAGGACGTCGGATTCGATGGGCACGTAGTTGGGGTCGGATATTCGTTCTACCTCGTCGAAAAAGCTGAAAGGGTCAGTGTGGTTGATGGAGAGGGATGCGCAAACCTACTATGGGGCGGAATCCATCAGGTAGAACTCGCTCGAGTGCTCGAGGACCTTGCCAACACATGGATCGCTCCACATGGATGTGATAGCTTGGCCTACCCGTACATCGAGGGGCTTCTCGGGATCAGGATCGACTGTATACTCGAGCAGGTAGTCGCAGAGCTCGGCATTGCCTGGCTTCTCGGGGGTAACGTCGAATTGTCGCATGGCGCCAATGAGGGCTTTTGCGCAGTCGATGACGTTTTTGTATATAGTCAGGCGGTACATGGCGAGCTCATCCTGCGTGTAGCCGTTCTGATGTATGATCTTCATCTGCTTGACTATGGTCGACTTTCCGCTTTCTCCGGAGCCTGCAGGGCGTGTTAGCAAATGTAGCGGCTGCCAGGCTGGAGCTACTCACCCAGCAGCAGGATCTTGCACTCCCGCCGTAACCGTCGCGAGTCCTCTTCGAGCTTGCGGTCAATGGCCTGGCTGCGCTTCTTCTGCTCGACATCGTCATTGTTGGTGCTCATGCAGATGCCCATAATGCCGGCGTGTGGTGCGGCTCGCGGCCGCGGGCGCTGGGGGGGAGTCGGGCGCGGGATAATGATGGAGCACTAGGCTCAGCGCGTCGCAGAAACGTCGTCGTCGAATACAGGCGGCGATGCGAAAGAGCGTGTGGTCCGGATGGCGGCGTGACGGTTGGCGCGTTGCTGGAGCTGTGGTGACGCTTCCGTCGGCTTAATCCGACACGCAGCTCCCGTCAAAGGGGGCCTCGCAACGTGGGCGGGCGCGGCAGCGAGGTCGCCAGCGTGGATGGCAGCAGCGATGGAAGCGGGGTCGGGCTGAAGCACAGGGACGGACGGGGGTTTGGTATGCGACGGTGGTGGTGTTGTTGTATGGACGGTAGGGTCGTCTTGGTGAGCTAGATCCGAGACTCCAGGGCTGCCTGTGGCTCGTGCGGAGGTGCCTTCCCCAGTAATTTGATGAGGAAGGCGCGGGATCTGGAGAAGGCGCAATCACCACTTTCACGGCGTCGGCGTCGTCACAGGAAGCGTCGTTTGCAGCGGAGTGCCGGGCGAGTGCGTCGGGCAGATGCGCTGGCTCGTCTGCTCACAGTGCGAGGCGTGGATTACGAGAGGGTGATGAAGGCGATGATGGCAGGCGCGATGCTGCTAAGCCTCATTCAATCGTGGATGCTAGAGCAGCGATCAGGGTAAATGGCACGAGCCAAGCTGCGGAATAAGGCGCGCTGAAGCGAGCGCAGAAGGGCAAAGTGCTGGCGGATACTGGCAGTGGAGATGCGATGCAATGCAATGGGAGGTGGTGGTGCCCCAACGACGCTCGAGGCCATGTACGACGCCGTGGCTGCCATGGCTCGTGGCTGTCATATCCGAAAGGCATCTATCTCGGCTTACCACCCGCGGCTTTCCAACACGCAGTCCACCACGGCCCCTTGATACAACGGCCCCTGCACTACGCGCTGCAGCTGTGCCTCCAGACTTCTATATACAGGACCTGCAGTCTGCAGCTTCGCTCCTCTGCTCTGTGTTGGCTTCACAATGCGACCGCGAGGAACGGCTCAGCCCCCAAGTCTCAATCTGGAACGCCTCCACGATAGAGTTTACCTCGTCGCCCAGCCAGCGCCAACACCATGCAACTGCGTGGGACTGACATGCAACGGCGTTTCCGAGGTAGCCATGTCCTCGGGGCTGCCCTCTCCAATGTAAAGTGAGTCTAATTTAAGTCTGGCACGAATACAATTGCCTCTTGGTCCCCTGACTGAAGATGAATGCGAGCCTCTCGTCAGACTGCCCTGCCTCTCCATCAATATTGGCTAGCTGCAAGCGAGGCTAGCTGGAGGCTGACCAAATACATCTGTCGGGCCCAATTCCCCACCTTTGGCGACTACGGACATGTTTTGGTCGATGTCGTGCATTATCAGGACATCCGCTCGGGTGGGTTACAACAGAAAAGAGTTGACGGGGCCACATGTCAGCAATCGCGTGCATGTTTCAGAGCGCTACCATGTTCCGTGATAGCCGCAGCATACCATTCACACGCTTTCGGAGCGAGCCGCAAACGAAGCATTACGCAACGTCATATCAGGGATGCCACGAGGGCTGGTAATCGGCCCTTGAAGTCAGGTACCGTTCACGCGTCGTTGATATTCTCGCCGCTAAGCTTGAAGACGACGACAGGGTTGGATCCAGATAAGACAAGGCGGTACTAGAGGTCATATATATAGGCATGCGGATGTGTTCTAGGTATACCTTCTTCATACGTCAATATTGCAGGTGTATTCGTGCCGTCAGCAAAGTCAAGGTTGTCAACGCAAGGACAGGCTGGGACAGGTTATACAACCAAGGCAAGTCAAGCTGCCCAGGCATGTTGGTCGTTAAAAGAGCAAGTGTGGCTGCATGCCAGCTGCAAAGTCACCGTTCGGGGTGGGCGACTGATGTGCACGGACCAGACACGTGAATAGAGGGGAAGGCTGCGAGTGAATGCGGAAAGAGCTTCGAGGTCGCAGTGGGGTACAGTGACAGGACAGGATGCATTGCTGTGACGGCCTTTTGCACCGCCAGTAAAAGCGCAGGAAATGGCTGCGCTGGGTGTAATGCACGGGCTGTAATGGAAATTTCAAAATCCATCGTGACGTCACCAGAACAGGCCGAAACCTGTGTGAGCGACACTTCCGTGCCCGGGCCATGTGCATGCGTCCCTCCATCGCATTTGGTGCCTGCCCCTCGATTGTCTTCTTACCTTCACCTCTTCCTTTCCGCACTGATCTGCATTCTCGCCACGCCCTCGAGCCTCATCCTTGTGTAGCACATAGCTGAGGTCATCCCGTCGGTGCCTCGATTGTCTTCTCGCCGACCCGCTTACTGCCAACGTTGAACAGTCAAAGCGGCAGCCAAAGCATCCCAACGTGTCCAGCCGCCGACGTTCGCGACACCTCTGGTGCAAATTCTGAAGACGACAAGAAAGATTCCTCGGAGCTGTGTCGCGCAAGCCCTTGATTGCCGGACCTAGCCACCGAGCCCAATAAAACCTGCCCTGATCTAGCAGCGTCAACGTGCGACTAGAGAGCCCCGACGTATTCGCGAATACCCCACGACGTCCTACTCGCCCTCTTCCACCACCACAACCCCCAATTTTCGCCCAAGATCGTTTTTCGCGCCTGTCGCAGCATCATAACCACCAATAATCATCATGGCGGAATTCGTACGCGCCCAGATTTTCGGCACCACTTTCGAGATTACCAGCAGGTGCGGGCATACCCCACATTACGTCTTCTGGCATAACTGACATCGACAAGGTACACCGACCTGCAGCCCGTGGGTATGGGCGCTTTTGGTCTCGTCTGGTACGACTCCCGCAACCCTAGACACGAATTGAATGTTGACTCGGCCACAGTTCAGCCAAGGACCAGCTTACTAGCCAGGCCGTGGCTATCAAGAAGATCATGAAGCCCTTCAGCACCCCAGTCCTGTCAAAGCGGACATACCGAGAGTTGAAGCTCCTGAAGCATCTTCGACACGAGAATGTGGGCAATGCAACTGCCGTTCCCCAGCGAAAATTCTAACATAAACCAGATTATCAGCCTGAGCGACATCTTCATCTCTCCCCTCGAAGACATGTAGGCAGCCACATTACCACCGACCCAAGCAAACACTAATTCGCCCAGCTACTTCGTCACCGAGCTCCTCGGAACCGATCTACACCGCCTGCTCACCTCCAGACCGCTGGAGAAGCAGTTCATTCAATACTTCCTCTACCAGATTTTGGTGTGTGGCAAAACCTCCAGATAACCAAGAAAATGTGCTGACTTCCAAAGCGTGGCCTGAAATATGTCCACTCCGCTGGTGTTGTGCACCGCGACTTGAAGCCCAGCAACATCCTCGTCAACGAGAACTGCGATCTCAAGATTTGCGACTTCGGTCTCGCCCGTATACAGGATCCCCAGATGACGGGTTACGTATCTACCCGATACTACCGAGCCCCTGAGATCATGCTCACATGGCAAAAGTACGATGTTGAGGTTGATATCTGGAGTGCAGGATGCATTTTCGCCGAGATGCTTGAGGGCAAGCCGCTCTTCCCTGGAAAGGACCACGTGAACCAGTTCTCCATCATTACCGAACTTCTCGGTACACCCCCCGATGATGTTATCCAGACCATCTGCAGTGAGAACGTAAGTAGGACGATGCAGACTCAGGAGCAACTCGCTAACTTTATCAGACACTGCGATTCGTCCAGTCACTTCCCAAGCGCGAGCGACAACCCTTGTCCAACAAGTTCAAGAACGCCGAGCCTCAGGCCGTCGATCTCCTAGAGAACATGCTGGTCTTCGACCCTAAGAAGCGTGTACGAGCGGAGCAGGCTCTCGCTCACCCATACCTCGCCCCATACCACGACCCCACTGATGAGCCGATTGCGGAGGAGAAGTTTGACTGGTCGTTCAACGATGCAGACCTGCCCGTTGACACGTGGAAAATTATGATGTACGTCTGGCCGAAGAATGTCACATACACGAACTAACACACTACAGGTACTCTGAGATTCTGGACTACCACAACGTTGATGCGGCGGCACAGGAGCAAGAGAACAACGGCAGCTAATTACAAATAATGTCTACCAATCTCGAGCTAGAACCATTTGCAGTCTCTAAGACAACGAATCATGCAGTTGCCGAGGCTTGACGTATCATCTGCCTGGCGCAGGCGGAGTTGGCTGTTCCCAATGATTCCCGGGGTCTCGTCTTGTGGACCTATGTGACATGAAGGTGCGCGGTAGATGGGGCATGGATTTGTTATTGTCATTGGAATGACCATTGCGGGTACACGAAAGGAATGTTCATGACGGAAGTGAAGGCTTTGGTCCACCTAGGTAGGAATGTGAAATCATATTATCAAACATACGTTACTCGTCGCTTTGCACAAGATGACTGGGTGACTGTTTTGTGCGCTGAGATGAGTGGTGCAATCTGTTAGTGAGAAGCAAAAGATGACAAGACCCAATACAAAGACTGTGTATCCATGATGTGCGGTGCACAAAAATGAGACTAAGGAAGAGGCTCCTTCAGAGGTACCCTGGCACTGGTGTCCGTGAGATCTCGGGCGTGATCACTAACATGGGAACGGGTGGAGATCGCCGAGGCTTCGGGCTAGCGCTGTAGGGCTGACTGAGGGACTGCCGTTTCGTCACCGCTTTGAGCGCGTCCGCAACGATTCAAGGACGCGAGCCTGGTCCCTATGGCCCTACAACCCTCCTCTCTATATCTTTTGAGTACTATGCGATAGTATCTAGATCGCACGATAATGGCGACTCTCAATCCACTCGTCTGCGTCGTCGACTTCCACCATGCGCGGTAAGCTTCTCCTTACAAGTAGAGTTGCAACCACAGACCGAGACGGCCAGGTAATGGCTAACAACCACATGCAGGGGTCCAGAAGTGGAAACATGGCTGGGTGCAGAAGAAGGAACCGACCCAGCAGCGGACAATGACTGGTCGTTGCTGCCATTCATGGCCTTGAGTGACGGTGCGCATGCCTCTGCAGAAGACTACTCCTACTTTACCCTCCGCCGCGCGCAAACCTCGACTGAACCCGCGACATCACTCTTCGGTATATCGTGTACGCGACAACTCGATGCGAGCAAGCTTATCGATCGGCCGGCTGAGGTTACCAGGAGCACGGTGCAGAAGGCTGTCGTTGTCATCAGCGATAGTCCACAACATTTTGGGGCTATCAAGGCGCAATTAAGTGTTGTCACACAGCTATGGTTTAACCAGAGGTAGGTTGGGTCTCCATGATAGATTTGGCATACAACGTGGAGCTGACGCGTCCGTAGAGACTTTACGGATATTGAGATATTGGAACGCTTCACGGAAAGTCTTCCACAGCTGCTAAAGAACCAGGAGGGACAGCAAGATCATTATTTCGGTATCTCTCTTCGCGAATTCATACATGAGTTCAAATGGCAGACTTTGGTTCTTTTCAAATGCGCCTTGCTTCAACCAAAGGTACGTCTTAGTCTATCCGAGCTAGCACGTTCAGTCGCCGTTTACAGAATGTCTTACAACCATAGGTTCTCTTCTTCGGCTCCCATTGCGAACGATTGTGCATGATGCAGTTTGCTCTTATTTCACTGATACCCGGCCTGATACGCCACCTACAAGATGCTGCAGATCCCAAGTTCAATTCTTGTGAGGAGAAGTGTGTCATGCCCACTTCACTCAAGACGTCTGAGCGTGCTTCCTGTTAGTCCTTGCCCTCGTTACTACGCTCAGATATACTAACTAGACTTAGTACTAGCATACATGGGCCTCCCGTTGCAGCTATTCGGTACAGGCTCTCTATTCGGACCATACACCCCACTTCAGCAACTCGACATACTCGCAGATCAAGACACGAAATCCTACATTGTCGGCTCTACAAATTCGCTGTTACTTCAGCAAAGAGATCGATACAGCGATATCCTTATCAACCTCGACGACCATACCGTAAACATTACCTCAGCCGCGCTGCGAAATGCATCGATCCTGTCGACACCGGACCGGAGATGGATCGACTTCTTGACACAGACGATCAACGATACATGGGATGAAAATGATCCAGCACGACCGAAGGACCATGGATACGCCGGCAGCGAAGAGTTCATCCGTATGCAATTCGAAGAGTACCTTCTCGCTATGCTCAGCTCGGTGAAGTACAAAATATACATGGAGAAGAATGCACACAAAGAGAAGTTGATCACAGAAGTTGAAGGTGACCCGGCGAGCGAGTTCTCAAATGAATGGGTACATGCCTGGATGCAGACTGAGAACTTTCGCATCTGGAATAAATTTACAGATTCACACCTCTTCGATATCGTCGATCCGAAACACCCTTGCTCTGGTGGCCTATCGATGGAAGACGTCCAACGCCGATTGGCACAGTACGTCCCCTCCTTCTTTTAGCAACCCCGTCAGCCCGACTAAACCTCACCCTTAGTCTGTTTTCCAGCCCAACCTTCCAAGCCGTGTCTCTCGGCGTATGTGTGCTGATGTTCGCGTGGCGATTAGGCAGGTAGCAGAAATGCATCTTGACGAGCGACTGGAGAAATCAAGAGAAGTCTTGGGTAAACAGATTGCAGTAGGCCAACAAAAGGTCAGCTCTGCGTACAACCGCTTGTGGGCAGAAATGGAAGCTATGCGTGAGGCGCAGAGGAAGAGAGCCGAAGAAGCTCGACTACAGGCTGAGAAGGAAGGAAGGCCGGTCGATGACGGGAAGAAGTGTAAGTCAAACATGCTGCTTTTGTGAAGAGGCCAATGCTAAGATTTGACCAGGGAAAGCACCTCAAGCCCCTGATCTCTCGAACGCGAAGGCAAGCGCGGGTGCGTACTTTTCCAGCTGGGGCACCTGGGCAAGCGAGAAGAGGAAAGGATGGGGGACAAAGACACCAGTATCCTCGCCTCCACCGAGTGATCTCAAGAGGGCGGAGGACTTCAAACGAGAGAAGGACGCGACAATTGGTGATACTCCGGCAAGCCCACCACCTGCAGACGTAAAGAGACGAAGCTTGTTTTTCGACGCAGACGCAGAGAAGACCAAGGACAGTGTTGAAAAGGATTGATGCATGGGCATGTAGACTACTGGCATGATTGCAGTTCAGCAGAGAGTGTAAACTGCTACAACGATCTATAGCATTTGTTCGGAAGAAGTAAATATGTGGTATTCAAATAGTCCTCACGTAGTGGTGGGTGCGATGTGCATCTTCTTGCTAACAGTCACCGTTTCAATCTTGGCCACTTAGCGTTCCCTAGATTGCCAAGGTGTTGTCAAGTTAACAGAATAGATCTGCGTGCACCGTGCCTGCCCAACATTGTCAGAGAAGGTGGGTTTGCCTCTAGCGTCTTGGACTTTTTGTGTCTCTGCAAATGTCTGGTTGTCACCATTCTTCCTTCTTCCCATCTCTTAAACATTCCTTCTTCGGTCTCAATTACTCGAGTCGCAGTAGAAGCAACGGTCGGGTACACCCGATTACCATAATTCATGCCAAGGGCTTCTGATCTGTTCCGACGGCATTTAACAATAGTTCTGATGGTGATCCTTTCGAACGCAGAGGCAAACATATGGATAAGAGCTTTGGAAATCACTGTATCCATCGATACAGGACGACACATGTAGAAAGCGATGACTTCTTCGTCGAGACTGATGTAATGATGGTTCCTGTTCCTGTCGATTTCTGGTCGCTTTCTTCTACGGCGGCTCCTTCTCACACTTCTCTTTCATCATGTCTCATGCTACAGTTGCAGTATCTAGAGCAATATTTGGTCTACGTTCGCAGATCTCAGCTCTACTTGGACGTGTAATGGATTATGTGGGCTTTCCATGGAGAAGTTCCCCTCATCTACATTGTCTTGCATGATTGGCCTTAACAAGGTGTTCGATGAGAACTTGCGGTATATGCGCTTGCTCCGTAGCTACCCTTCGTTCTCACAGATGCTACTGATCAATTTCAGGCTCGAGACAGATTTCTGAAAGCACCTGACATTCTTGACGCAATCTGATCCTGCCGCACCCATGTCCAGTTGGCACAAGAACTTGTACACCCCTTGTCTCGGCTGTCTACAGTTTGTATTCATGACGCTGATGTTCGAGCAGATTCGAAGGTACACTCAAACTCGAACACTTACCAACACTTTTGGTGGGTTTTTTTTTGATGTTCTCGCCTGGCCCACTGACGTATCTATTCTCTCGTTCACCGTGAAGCCGAACCCGCCGTCTCAGCTGTCCGTACCACCGCACTCTGCTCCTCACCACACGTCTCTTGTTTTGGTAAACACCACTCACGTTCACTTTCATCAACAAAGCTGCCTGAATCACTACACCGACGCGTCTCAGGCCCAAGCTTAAGCTAGATAATCTTCTCATAAAGAGGCTTGCCCTCACATTCACCTCTACCTCAACACCTACCTTTCCTTCAATCTCTCCTTTGATCAAGACTTTGTTTTGACAGCCGCACCTTCTCTTGATACTTCAAATTCCTTAAGAGCACTCATTACATCATGTCTGATCCCCCCAAGTCTCTGTTCGGCGACGGCGGCAAGATCATTGTGCCCATGCCGAAGGGCAAAGCGAGTGTCACGAGCGAGCCAGCTATCACGGGAGTCAACACCGAGAAGAGGTTTACCTTGAGTCAGCCAGATGACAAGGATGTCAAAGACGCCGCCGCGGCTGCCAACGCTGCCAAACTTGAGGGCAAGTTCGCTTCTATCGGTCTTCTGATCATACTAACGGCCTCAGAACTTGTAGGACAGATCGTCCAGAACCTTGGAAGCCGCGGATATACCCTCCACAGTAAGGCTTGTTTCACTCTAAACACTTTAATTCCGTCTAATACGTACAGGCATTGGCCCCAATCCGTGCTACCAGCCTGCTCCCAAGGTTTTCCGATCCCACAGTGACAAGCCTCGCAACGCTACCAGCGTAAGTGTATTTGTATATTTCCTTTTCTGCTTCTTCTTCTCTTTTGTGTCCTTCTTTCTTTCTCTTCCTTCCGGATTCGAGGTTGGTAAATTTAATTCGACCATAGTGCTTCACGTTTCTGCCCAACGAGGTTGTTGGCGAGATCGGCAGTGAACTAAATGTCCGCGATCTGAACAGCATGCGCCTAGCAAGCATGCGACTCAACTATGCTGTCAACTTCCAGTACGGTAAGAAGATCATGGTGACAGAAAACGTTACCATCTTTCCTACCTTCTCAAGCATTGCTTCATTCTTGGTTGGTCTTGGTTTGGATGACGCATATTCTGCTACTGTGCGCACCATCACTTTGGTCGGAGAAGCACCCAAGACGCCGGAGTTGAGCTACGACATATCATGGATTAACCTGCTGCGCGCCCACCCGGATCCGAATCGCCAGATCGTACCTCTTACGCGCCTGAACCGCTCGACTCTGAACTCAAGCGAGTATATCAAGGCTCAGAAGGTCCGTGACACCGATCGACGCATCGTCTTGTCTGTCAACGACAAGCACGAAGAGTGGGACTACATCAACAAAGACTTCTGTTACACTGGCGGCTACCGTACGATGCTCAGTAAGTCTCACGGCAGTCAACACTTTGCGAAGTACTCCCAGTACGTCTAAGATCAACAAGAACTGACTTTTGCTCAGGCATTATGCTCTCCAAGCTCCCTAATCTGAAGACCATCACCACCCGCAAGCTCCACGTAGGCGAGCACATTCCTGGTTGGGAGGGACCCGAGGCCTTGAAGCACCTGTCCTACTATCGCCCTGATCTCCCAATCAACAAGGTCTACTATGGCGACTGGCAGTACGATACCGTCCACAAGCGCATCACCATGTACACCGATGAGTACGGCGAGTACATCGAGGAGGCTAACGCTGGTCCCCAAGCTGGTTTCAAGGAAGATGTACTTGCCGCTATGGAGATGTCTGGTACCTCGGCTATGCTTGCATAGAAGAACTGGTTTGAGATGTTCGGACATCATGGTTTGACTTCTTGATTTACTGGTTTGAGATGGACTGATATGAGAGTCATCGATTGACCGATACCGACTGGATTGAGAAGGAATGATCTGAGATCTACCGGTTGATATGCACTGGTCTGAAGGAATCTGGTTTGAAATGATAGGGAAATGACTGCTACATTCCACAAGATAGCTAGTCTCGACTACAGAATATGACTGCATTTGCCTAAAACTTGAAAGCGTATATGTGGTGACTGCCCTTCCTACATCATACCAAATCCTATCATCTATTACCCAAAGCAAAGGCTTCCCAGTTCCTTCCCAACTTCGTCACACCCTCCTCCAAACCCCATCCTTTGATTCCACATATTCTACGTATGATATCCTCCAACCTTTTATCCATCTCCTCGCCTGCAGTGTGCAAATCGCTCTCCACGAGTAACATATCATCTGGAACAGTCTTTATGATATCCTGGAAAGCCTGTGGCGTATCTTCCTCGTCCATCGCATCAGACAGGTTAATCGCCGTGCTGAACGACGCGAAGATCTTGGCAGGGATCTCAGGACGAAGGTATTGCGCGAAGTTGGAGGGTGAACCGGAGTAAGAATGGAGGCATATACGTGGTGGATAGGATTTCGGACCGCTGTTTTCTTCGCCAGTGCCCTCATTCCGCGTCTCATCAGCAGACAACGCGGCTTCAGCAGCAGGGTGATCCTGACCCCTCTTCTTTCTCTCCCGTTTACTCAAAACTTGTTTCTCGCATCCCTTCCACGTTTCGCTCAGTACCTCTAGAACAAGACCATGCGCTTGTACACCATGTACACTAACTGCTCTGCCCATCTCCGCAGCAAGATCCAATTGGAGTTTAAAGATCTTCTTTTGATGCGAAGGACTACATCGGAAGGGTGTTAGGCGCCGACCTTCGCGACCACCTGGCGTAAGGTTGTTGTTGCGCTTCGACCATAGATCTGGATTGCCGGTCCAGGACTCAGGAATTCTGAAGGACCGATCGAGACCGATTTCACCTATCAGCGCAAATGGATGTTGTTGCAGATGTTTTCTTGTAAGTTCCAGGAATGCGGAGAAGGAGGTTGGATCTGGTAATGAAGCGTATATCTGGAGATCTTCTTCGCTGGGGTCGGAGCGGAAGGGTTGGAGGACGGATTGATAGTGGGACATCTTTGCTTGACCGGTGAGAGGACCTTGGTCTTGCAATTCGTTATTCCCATTCGCTCCGGAATCTGAGTTGGGAGATATGTACATCTGGTATGAGAACCATGGGTGCCAGCCGAAACAAGGGACTATGCATTCTTCTTTTGTCCATTGAGACGGGTCCGAAGATCTGATGCTGTGCTTGTTCGCTGCCGATAAAACAAGGTCCTGGTCTTCGGATCTGGTTGCCATTACGGTGAGGACGCGTGCTTTCATGTTTTGGATGGTTTCGATGCTGGACATGGTGTCTGTTGGATGACAGTGTGCATCGTAGACTCCGAGGTGCCATGGAAAGGACTCATCTCTGCTCTTGTCCGACGCCATTGTGTTCAGCGAGAGGAAGCAAGATTTTTCTTTTTTAACGTGGAACTACAGTCTCCAGGATTGCGAACAGGTCACCGAGACGTTCTGTTGTCCAAAGCAAATCTACACTATGACGTACATGCAAGGCTGGTCGGCTGGACCCTGTCCAGGTATCATTGCCCCACGACATGAACCCCACCATGTACGCATCTCAAACTTCCGGCGGCTTTACATGGTCGTAACCACCGCTAGTATAATGTCTTACAGCGCTTGATATCCAGGTCTGTCAGTCTCCGAGTAGTCTCCAGCCTAGCCTTTTCCAGAACCTTGGATTCTACCAGCTCCTGTGCGATATGTGACATCCTACCATTTGCTTCTTACGGACACACACGCATTCCTACACGCGTGATACAAAAGGCTGCCCTTTCAGCTCCACCAGGCAGGCAAGTAGACGAAAGATATACCCCTTCTACGAAGCATGTCAGCTTGATAGTAAGCGCCACATTCCGCCCTGCTCCAACATACGGTACTTTTGCGCGAATCGCAATCTAGGGCTGTCGGGCGCCCCGTGCGGATAATAAACGATCTGGGACCAGGTGCCTGCATTGGCTTACATTCCACGGAAAGCCACGAGTCAAAGATCGCTGCTCGTGGTCTTTTTGCAAGGCGCCCTTTTAAGGACCGAGGATGTACCTTCTCCGCATAAGCTAGCCCCTCACCAAGTAAGACCGTTTGCTAGAGAGCTACCTGGGTAAGATAAGTACATGTACCGCTACTCGAATTCATTCACTTTTTGCATCTTACTGATTCTTCTGTCACCACCTGCGTCGAGTGTTTTCCCAATATAAAATACTCGGGTCCCTCACTTACACCAGAAACCGATAAAAAATAACTTTGACCACCTTCACACTAAGCATCTATAGCTACCCCACCACTTCGACCAAAATGCCCGGTCGCCTCCAAAACAAGATTGCCGTTATAACGGGTGCTTCGTCCGGTATAGGCCGCGCAACAGCCCTAGCTTTCGCTTCAGAAGGCGCCTCACTAGTCTGCTCCGACCTCCACGAAACCGCTCGTCAAGAGTATGCTACAGACACTTCCCCTTTAACCACCGTCCAAGCCGTTCAGAACCTTGGTGCCAAAGCCATTTTTGTCAAATGCAACACCACCTCCTCCACCGAAGTCGAAGCCTTGATCCAAGCCACAGTGAAAGAGTACGGTAGGATCGACATCATGGTAAACAATGCGGGTATTGCTATGGAAGCGGGTGAGCACGGGAGCAGACCCATTTGGGACTACGAGGGAAATGCTTTTGACAAGACGGTTGACGTGAATGTTAAAGGTGTTTTTTGGGGGACCAAGTATGCGAGCAAGCAGATGGTGGGGCAGGAACCAGGGGCTGGGGGTGATAGAGGGTGGATTATCAATCTGAGTAGTGTTTATGGGATGAGGGGTTCGATAGGTATCTGTAAGTTGCGTTGTTTTTCTTTCCTTGCATGTTTGTTTTTAAGTTTTATGTGGTGGGGGAGTGGTGGGTCCTGGGATGAGGCGTTGTTGCATCACCGACAAGAGAAGGAGGGTCACTAACGATAATGGCAGCTGGTTACGTGACATCTAAACACGCTGTCCTCGGTCTGACAAAAGCCGCCGCACAAGACTGTGCGCCATACCGCGTCCATGTCAACGCTCTTTGCCCCGGGTTTACAGCTACAGCCTTCATCTCGGGGTTGCTCACGCCTGAAGCAGCAGAGCGGAAGAAGATTGTAGAACAACGACATCCGTTTGGAGGATTAGGCACGCCCCAAGATATTGCCAAAGCGGCGGTGTTTCTGGCTAGTGATGATGCCGCGTGGGTCACTGGTATAGGACTGCCGGTCGATGGTGGGTTTAGTTCTATGTGAGGGGCTTGGAACTGGGGAGCGTTCGGAGGACTGGCTGCTGGGATACGAAACGGGAAACCTGGTGCATGGTGTCCAGAATAATACTTAGCTAAAGCTGACAGTAAAGATATACACAAAATCTTACATCGAGAACCTACGAAGAAACTCACAGTATATATTTCCGGAATACAATTTGATAGTAACGAGCTTCTTGGTAGTTAGGAGTGTTTGACCTGTTTCATTGTTTTAGGGGGTTTTATACTAATCTCTCTCTGTACTATGCTATGTCTCTAGGCCGTCCAGTATCCCAAAAAAGCACCCTATATACACCTACTCAATCTGGCCAATGGAGAAACCGTAACGTAGGAGAGAAAATCGCCGATGCGGGAAATGCAGGACTAGGAAACCCAAACGCCATAGCTATGCTAGCTTTCAAGAGTAAAAAGACCTAATAGAAGGAGTACGAGAACGGAGTCGACTAGGAAAACGGAGAGAGTGCGAACGTATAGGGTATCGCCGCCGGGGAGACAAGGCCGACATACGCAAGAGGTCGTCATGCTCTTTGGTACTAAGGCAAACGCGGATCAGTCAAGCTGGATGGTTGGAATGTAGTGCGAGGATACGGATGGCATGGTACAAGGGCCGAGGGAATGTAGGAGAATGTATGGAGGTGTGTGAGGTACTACCTCGCTACACGGTGGATCAACCTGTGGATGTTAGTGAGTAATGATGACATGGGAGGCTGTGGGAGCTCACCTCAGAGTACTGATAGCAAAAGTAGCAATCCAGGCAAGCAGCGCAATCAGCAGAGTCGCTGTCAAGCCCTTCTGTCTCTCACAAATGCTCTGTCTGTATGGACAGGCATTTGTCCTGTCTGATTCAACGCATGCCCACTTGTCGTCTGTCAGAGCCTGGAAAGCCAGACTAAGGTTGGCAGACTCGAAGACGATGAAGGCTAGGTCTAGGAAGATGAGTGACATTTTGGCGTTGTGCGACCGCAGACCGAGAGGCTTTGACGTGTATTCATCATAGGTGATGTAGATGGTGTATAGGACGGCTACAATATCAACGAGTATGGCCATCCAGGTCGACGAATTATTGTTGCAGCCGTTGTTATCGGAGTGACGGTAGATGGAGCACGCGAGGGAGAGGGCAAGGATGGAGAAGACAAGGATCAAGCAGCGGGAGAGGGCGGGGACCATGGGGTGGTTCATGACGGTGTTGTGGAAGCGCATCAGGCGGCGCTTTCTCTTCTCCGAGGTGAAGAGCCAGAAGCCCTTGATGTGCTCGTCGCCATGGTCCTTGTCGATGGGCTCCCACTTCTGCTCGAGGTCGGGCATGTTGTCCTTGAGCCAGTCATCATCTACAATCTGGCCGCGCGAGGATATGGGGCGGTCGAGGTTGGACGCCTGGGTGAATTGCTTCCACTTGGGGGCACTATCGCTGACAGGCGTCGACAGGGTCACGGGGGCGCCCTCGCGAGCGTGGTCGAACTTGCGACCCGGGACACTAGACTTTGGGGTCGGGCAGAAGTTGTGGTTGGCATGGCGGACACTGGTGGGTGTTCGTGGTAGGAGGAAGCTGGTAGCATCGACATTGTCCTCTTCGTCGGCCGACTGGACCCAGGGCGGCAGTGAGCGGACGGCGCGCTGTCTCTCCCTGTTCTCCGCGCTCGCGGTTATGCTCCGGTTAGAGGACGCCAGCGTGCGAGGGGTGCTGGAGATGGACTGCGAGTGGCTCTTGCGGACGGGGACGCCGTCCTGACTGTCCTTGGAGTTGTCCGACACGGCACTGACTCGGGACTGGGGGCGGCGCTGCGAGTTGAACGAGGAGGCGGTAGGCGGCGGAATGGGCGAGGGGAGCAGACGGTGTTGTTGAGTGGCGGTGGGGGGCGAGTTCAGAGTCGAGGCCTGGGGTGTCTGACTGCTGCGGGGGGCAGCCGCGGCTGGGGGGGGGGGGGGGCCAGCTGTCGTGCCAGCGGGGCCGGGGGCAATGCCATTGCTGCTACTGCCATTCGGGGCGACCATGGGCGTGCTGGTCATTCTTGTCGGGAGATGTGAGGGGCGTCCTCGTCGCACCAGCGGAGCCCTTTACCAAAACACCAAGCACCGGCGGGGCCCTTCCCCTAAACACCAAGCACCAGCCTGGGTGTCGCGCCCTAGGAGCAAGCTTCGTGGGGTTGGCAGGGAATCAGCACCGGGGGGGATTACGTGGGAGCAAAGTAGACGACGCGCGACGACACCATGTCGGGGCTAGGGTGTGTATGGGAGAGCAACAGTGCGGGATAAACAAGACAAAGCGAGCGAGCGACTGTAATCAGCAATAGTAGATGTTAGAGTTTGGTGGTGCGCCTGGGGGTAGTGGAGCGCTGAGGCCCGTGGGCAGGCCATGGGAGATTGCGAACAAGCTTGTTCGTCGATCAGGGAAACAGGGATTGCGCGCTGGCAGGCATCTTCTTAGTCCGCCGCCGTGAGGTCATGGGTCCGCCCTCGGTAGCTTGCTTGTTCGTCAATTCTCGACCACACAGCCACTGCTAGACATCCCAGCACCGCCTGCCACTTCAGCTGCACTGCCTTGGTACGCCACAGTCTCGCCCGCGTCATGTTCTACACACTCGCCCTCCGACTCTGTTAAATACCTGCGCCATTGCGCGCGCTTACCTAACCACCGACAAGACAATCCTGCCAACCCTCCCCCGCCAACCCCACGATGCGTCTTTTCCTCCTGCCCATATCCACCCGTCGCTCCCTCATCTACTGCGAGAAGCTGCACGAAAAGGCTCCCAAAGACCGCTCCTACTATGACAAGCTCACCATCAAGGCCAATGAGACTTGGGTCGCATGGGAAAAAGACGAAAAGGCCATCTGGGACTGGAAGAAGAAGGTGACCTTCTATGGCAACGAGGCCCTGAAGCGCATTCCCTACGAAGAATGGGGGCTCAAGACAATACCCGCTCTCTCTGCCAAGCGAAGACAAGACATACTGGACGGAAAGGCAAAATATGAGGTCCTGTTCCCGGGCAAGTACCTGCCGCAGGAGAGGGTATCTGGGCTGCTGGAAAAGTTGGCCAAAGAAAGGCAGAACATGCACCGGAGCAAGCTGATTTGGAGCGTCATCATCATGCCCTTCACCGCGCCCTTCATGCTGGTACCCGTCATTCCCAACCTGCCCTTCTTCTACGTCCTCTACCGAGCATGGAGTCACTGGAAAGCGCTCGGTGGCTCCAAGCACCTTGAGTTCCTCCTCAAGCACAACCTCCCCAAGCCCGCTCCATCGCCCATACTCGACCAACTCTATACCGCCGGACTCATGTACCCTACCCGCGCACTCTCTCGCGCCGCTCCCAACCCCACCGAACAACAAGCGCAGCAGGTCGCAGACGTGGTGCACCAGCAGACCAACAACGAGACCAAGGACGTTATGGTTCTCCAACGGTGGAACGGAAAACTCCTTGCTGAGCAATTCGACCTGCCCGACATGGAGGTCGAGATCGAGCGCGCCGTCTGGCAGGTCGAACAGGCAATCAAGTCAAAAGAAGAGCTGGAATCAGAAAAGCTGGAGCAGGAGAAGGCGACCGGAGGCAATGGTATGAGGGCGAAAGATGCACTGCCCGAGCATATCCTAGAGAAGATACACGAGAAGGCCGAAGATGTCGCTGAGGAGGCCAAGGAGAAGGCCAAGCAAGCGAACAAGTCATGATTCCCTTTATGTGCTGATGATGTACGATATCATGGTTGATTTCAAAATCTGTAAACATAGCATGGGCGTTGGGAGACTATGTTTGTACTATACCACTAGAAGAGTTTGCATCTGTATGATTGGATGCATTATGAAACAAGTTCGAGATATGATAAACAACCCTGTGTAGTCTTTGGTAGTGTGGCAGCTAAGGTACCTTCAGTAAATCGGCCCCTAGAAGAGACTGTGTCAGCAGATTGTCCAAGGCCCCAGGCTAGGAGCTCTCGTTCATGGAATCAGTATACTGCTAGGGAACCTTACTGTTGAAGTCACCTGTCCGCCATAGTGAGATGTAGCATTGCGATACTGGTAAGAGCGTTTCAGAACACCTCTAACACAATCATAACTCACTCTTGTCCCCCCAACAGAACTTCTCAAGCTTCTCCTTTGTCCAAGTTACTGGGCCATCACTCCCATACAAAGGATCTTTTTCCAACCACTCCACGTTTCCCACCGCCTCCGCCTTCTTCTCTTCTCCCTGCTTCCCATAACACATATCCCAACTACATCCCTTCGGGTAACTGCCAACCATCTGGAAACCACCCTCAGCATCTTCAATCAATCTGTGTCCGACACCCGCAGGCACGACAATAGCGTCTCCGGCTTTGACCTCCGTTTCAACTTTCCCAGGGTTAGATTCCCCGCCGAACAATAGTTTTGCACGGCCGTTGAATACACAGAGGACTTCATGTGTAGTGCTATGGTAGTGCGTCGTGGTGTACATTGTGTAACGCCATTGTGGAGAAAGATTGTTGGTGGAGAGATGCGACTCTAATGTGGAGGCTGAGGTTGAGGGAGGAAAAGCAGAGTGGTAGATGAAGAGGGGATGGCTATGTGGCGTTGTATTGGGGATGTGAGCGTGTGTGGGGATGTAGTGGGTGCTTAGGCGGAGGGAGGAGAGGGGAGTCAGGTTCAAAGACGGCATTTTGAAAGATGTATGAGTGGTGGGACTGATGCTTGAAATTAGGGTTTGATATAGAATGAAGCGTGTTGGTAGGAAAGCAAATCGCAAGCCCAATTATTGATATAACATAGTAGATGATGATCCTACAAAGACGTCATCGGTCTGGAAGCCTAGATAAAGGTATAAAAAACCCATTAAAAGCTACCGTAGATGATATCGTTTTCATGCCAAGAGCATGCGTATAACAGTATCGTTGAAGCCCGAGCTCTGTTGCATTGAGCATGTATACCGACTGACTAAGTTTTATCAGCATTCGCCACCCGCAATGAGAAGTCCCATCAGACCGAACGGCCGGGTGCGAAGAAGACTGATCAGAAGATCCAATCGTTAGTCACTCAATATCCTCTAGTATGTTCAAAGATGATGAGGTTAGGCTTCCAAGGTGCTATTGGGTCGCAACCGTGATAGAATGGTAATGTGCTGTACTGCAGTAGTGCAACATGCACTGGACACGTAGGTACGAGTTTGTCTTTGAGCCACCATCAGCAACATCCTGTCCATGCGCAGACAAGGGAGAATTCGGCGAGCAAATACAAAAACTCATCTCCAGCTGACAAAGATTCCGGTGACTTCGCGATGTACAGCGGCTAGTGCAAGGCAGCGTGAACCACACCCTTGCAAATGCCAAGACCTAAGCTCGGTGCTGCCTGAACAGTATGAACCAACATCGACGTGAATCCATATCAATACGCCGCCGCCTCTTTGTCCAGGCACCTTTACTTTACTCCTCTCCCTCCGTATTGTGCTTCGCGTAATTTCGAGGCGCTTATACCAAATTCCGCGGGAATCTACCGCTTGGTACCTCATAAGCCTCCCCGCCCGCTCCATAGTCAACTCCCCTCCACTTCACCGCGCCATTCACCACAACTACCTTCTGCACCCGTAGAAGTCCCTCCGCCCAAGACATCAACTGCAGTAGCGCCCAAAGCAGTTGACAAATAATCCGCCTGTCTGCGACACAGCGGTTCCGACAATAAGGTTCCTCACGCGCAAGAAGTCGCCTCCGAAAAGTGCCCCAGAGCACGCGACGACACAACACACGATGGCTTCTGGTATGCCACCCGTCCCGGCTAAGGACGATGTGAATGCAACGTAAGTTCTTTCCCTTCCTCCAGCGTGTTGTTCTGCCCAACGCTGCGAGTTGCGGGGACCTTGGTAAGCTCCGGTGACGTCGCCAAAGGCTGGTATGTAGTCCGCCGCGGTGAGCGCAGGCGAGGGCTGTCATCATAGGATGGGCAACAACAGAGCGACCCCACTCCATACGTCCTCGTAGAGCTCGACCAAAAGCTAACAGCTCACAGATGGAAGTACCTTGAAGCCGGTGTCGACAAGATTATGACCAACCTGCGCGAAGGTGTTGACATGAAGACGTACATGGGCCTCTACACCGCCATCCACAACTTCTGTACCGCCCAAAAGGCCGTGGCCGGCTCGTCGTTCCACGCCACCAATAACCGTGGAGGTGCCCATCTTCTAGGAGAAGACCTCTACCAGCACTTGATCGAATACCTGAAGGCGCATCTCGCTGAGGTGCAGGCAGCTTCACGGCAACATGTTGACGAAGCGCTTCTCCACTTCTACATCAAGGAATGGAACCGCTACACAACAGCTGGCCAGTACAACAACCATCTGTTCCGGTACTTGAACCGCCATTGGGTCAAGCGCGAGATGGACGAGGGCAAGAAACACATCTACGACATCTATACACTGCACTTAGTGCGATGGAAGGAGGACATGTTCACAGGCAGCCAGGAGAGCGTCATGCGCTCAGTACTCAAGTTGGTCGAGAAGCAGCGAAACGGCGAGACTATAGAACAGTCCCAGATTAAGTCGGTCGTTGACTCCTTCGTATCGCTGGGCCTGGATGAGGCCGATAGCTCCAAGTCGACATTGGATGTTTACAAGGAATACTTCGAGAAGCCCTTCTTGGAGGCCACCGCGCAGTACTACGACAACGAGTCCAAGCAGTTTTTGGCGGAGAACAGTGTGGTCGAATACATGAAGAAGGCAGAAATCCGTTTGGAAGAGGAAAAGGAGCGTGTGCCGCTGTACTTGCTCAATGAGATTATGTCACCTCTGATGCGGACGTGCGAGCAGTCGCTCATCACCAGCCATTCGCAAGCTCTCCGTGAGGAGTTCCAAATCCTTCTTGATCACGACAAGGAGGAGGACTTGGGCCGCATGTACAAGCTCCTCGCTCGTATTCCCGAGGGTCTTGATCCTCTGCGCCTGCGTTTCGAGAACCACGTCCGTAAGGCGGGTCTAGCTGCAGTTGACAAGATTGCGCAAGACGGAGAAAATTTGGAGCCGAAGGTATACGTCGAAGCCCTCCTTGAGGTC